TCCAGCAGTTGCAGGCGAGGCATGCCGCAAAACACGGCTTTGTCGGCATGCTTGGGAGTATTGATTGCACGCATTGGGAATGGAAAAATTGTCCCACTGCGTGGCACGGTCAATTCTCCCGGGGAGATCATCCCAAGCCTACCATCATGCTCGAAGCTGTTGCTTCGAATGACTTGTGGATTTGGCATGCTTTTTTCGGTGTCGCGGGCTCGAATAACGACATCAACGTTCTCGATCAATCCCCTGTTTTTGATGATTGGGTTAATGAGACCGCACCGGACTCCTCTTTTGAGCTTAGAGGGACGCTTTACAAGCGTGGATTTTATTTGGCTGATGGAATATATCCGGATTATTCCACCATTGTCAAATCTCTCTCCGAACCAATGGGTCTTAAACGCCAAACCTACAAAAAAGCTCAAGAGGCGGCGAGAAAAGATATTGAACGAGCCTTTGGGGTCTTGAAGGCTAAGTGGCACATTCTAGATCGTCCGTCGAAATGTTATTCTCAGACAAAAATGAGGAATATCATGTACGCATGTATTATTCTTCATAATATAATCATAGAGGATAACGGGTCTGCGATTTGTGAATACAACCCGGACGAGGAGGTGCCTATGTACGAAGAAATCACCGAAGAAAAGAAGCGACGCAACCGCCAAGAAATTCGAAGCCGAGAGATTCACAATGCACTAACGGCGGATTTGATCGAGCATATCTTTAGTCGTTCGAATAATTAGTGATTTCTTTGTACTGTTGTTTTTTTTATGTAATTTTTTTAATGTTTTTTTATGAATGTAAAATTTTTTTATAATGAATTTAATTTTTTTTATGCAATAGTGTCACTGCGATTAATTAAAATAATAAATTAATTTAAATTTATAAATTTAAATTTAGAAGATGTATATTTAAAAATGTAAAAAATGAAGGTTTGAAGCCCCAGTTTGAAGCCCGGGGCTTCAAAACCATTTCCAGTGAATTTTGGGTGTAAGTTAAAGCTGACGTGGCAGAGAGAGAAAGTTTGAAGCCCCGGTTTGAAGCCTCGGGGCTTCAAACGTATTACCAGTGCTCTAAATATCTATTCAATTAATATAGTAGGTCAACTAAAATATATTTATATTTTATTTTTTGTTAATTATAAGTATTTAGTTGTATAATAAATTACGGAGTATTAATTATATAAAACTTGAAAATATTATATTGAAAAAAACTACTCTTTATATTTTAAAACTAGCTTGTTCTCCATCAATATCAAAAAAATCTAAAAACGACCTATTTCGATGTAAATCCATTTTTTAAGGAAAAAAATCCTAATTTAAAGCTATTTGTAAAAAAAACATTTACTTAAAATATTTATTGGAATTACAAAAAAAATTCGTTGGAAAAGTATTTAAAAAGAGAGCTATTTAAGAAAATTACCATAAAAAAGAATTGAATATATATATGACACATGACACATAATCATTGGACCACAAAACTAAAGAAATGAATGCATGAAATCCTTCTTCCCCCTCAAGCATCGGTGCTATGTGAAGCATCCCTTCTCTTTTTCTTTCTTGGGCATCTATAATGAGCACCCACCTACAACAACAGCATCTATCAACATCTCACTCTCTCTCCTCCTAGCATCTCTTGTGGGCATCCCATTGGAGATGGTCTAATAGTAGTTAGTACCTTTTTCATCTTGCTCTTATTTTTCGGGCTCTAATTCATGATTGTCGTGGGTTAGCGGCGGATTTTCGTTATGTTTCTTTTTCATATATAAGACGTTGTTATAATCTTATATTGCTCATACCCTTGCGAGGAGGTTTGAATCCGATCATGTCGAATGGACCTCGACTCTTCTAAC